CTACAGGCGCGCACTACCATGCCCGGCTCATTTTTTGATTTATTGTAGAGATGAGGTCTTTCCAAGTTGCCCCAGGCGGGTCTCAAATCCGCGGGCTCAGGCAATCCATTCACCTCAGGCTCCCAAAGGCGCGGGATTACAGGCTGAGTCACCGAGCCCATAATAAGATAATTTAATTTACTCTGCATGAATTAGAAAGCCATTAGAAGGCTTTAGTAAGGGAGTGATATGATCTGGTTTTTCAAAAGTTAAAGTTGACACTATTTACATCCAATTTTATAGAAATCGGAAATCTAAAGTGTAATAAAAGAAAACAGATCAGTGGATGTCTAAAGCTGAAAGTGTGAAATCTAACTGCAAAAAAGCACAAAGGGATTTTTTAGATTGATGAAACTATTTTATCTTGATTTCGGTAATGGTTACATGGTAATATACATTTGCCAACTTTTAACTATACTCTTAAAAGGGATATGTATGCATGTTTTACCTCAATAAATTGACTTTTTTTTTTTAAAAGCCACATTTACTGATGCCTAGGGAATGAATTGCCAAGCAGAATTGCCAGGCAGTACCGGTTAGGATCCTGTCACTGTGGGTCAAGTGAGAAATGATGGCGGCTTGGATTAGGATAGTCCCAGTGGAGAAGGGGAAGTAAGCTGATGCTGCATTTATATTTTAGGGCACAACAATAAGACATCCTGACACTGGGTTGAGAGTGAAGCACCAAAACCTTGCTAAGTGCTTTGTTTAAGAGTCATTTTTAATGGTCCATTTATGATGCCAGAGTGCCCAGGCAAGCTATTTAGGTGACATAGTTAATTCTCTGTCACAGGCATTTAATCTCCAAAGTGCAAGGTAGGGATGGAGGACCACTCTAAGATACTGATGCATCCTATACTCTTTGGCTAGATATCACAAAGGTGCAACTTGGAATAACGAAAGTAGGAAGTTGACCCTGTTTGTTAAAATGCCACTGAACTCTCCCTTGCATAAAGTAAGTATTCACTAACTAGCTGTTTCATTTACTTACTTTGTCACTGGCTTTGTGCACTTACATAATAAATGGCTTTTTTCCCCCTCTGTAAGTTGCTGGTAATAAGGATGGAAGTTGAGTGTGAAGTTGAATTTTAGACTGCTTCCCTCATGCACAATGACAACTGTGATAACCTCTGCAACTAATAAGGTCAAGCTATGGCTCAAGAGGAGAGTGACATGTCTACAAGCTGTATGAGATGAACCTGAAAAGTGACCATTCAGACTTTGTGGGGTGGAAGGAAGCAAGCTAAGTGTGGAGTATCAAAGTCAGAAGAGTGTGAACAACTATGTGTGTAGTTTATACACACATACACACACACACACACACACACACACACACACACACAAACACACACACACACACATACTCATGCCAAACCCTTCTTAATAAAACTGTCTTCCTTCTAGGTTTACATACTGGTCTCTTCCTTTTCTACCTGTAGACAAAACTTCTGAATTGTTTTATAGAAATTGATAGTATTAATTTAATAATACTTTGGCCATTTGCAATTAATCTCTTCTTCCCCTCCCTGTACATTCACTCAGTATCTATTGATGAATCAAGTATGGGGCAGCCATCAGATCTACTGAGAAGAGTAAGATGTGACCCTGCAACCTTTCATTTATTAATCTAGTCTCACTCAAGTTGACAAATAGATTGCAAGATTCTATCTTTGATTCTCCTTTTGGATATCATCATATAATTTGTAAATAAATTCATGCTAATATACTTGCTGCTCAAATGCAAGGTAGTTTAAAGAAAGCCATATTTTAGCTGGGCTCGGTGGCTCAGCCTGTAATCCCGCACCTTTGGGAGGCTGAGGTGAGTGGATTGCCTGAGCCCACGGGTTCGAGACCCGCCCGGGCAGCGAGACCTCATCTCTACAATAAATCAAAAAATCAGCCGGGCGTGGTAGCGCATGCCTGTAATTCTGGCTACTCGGAAGGCTGAGGCGGAAGGATCGCCGGAGCCCAGCAGGCGAGGCTGCGGTGGCCAGGAGCGGCCACTGCACTCCTCCAGTCTGGGCAACCGAGTGAGACTCCAACTCAAAAAAAAAAAGCCATATTTCAAAGTAGAGGTCGGCAAATCTTTTTTTTATAAAGGACCAGATAATACATATCTTAGGCTTTGTTTGCCATACGGTCTGCCTTGACCACTAGATTCTGCCATTGTGGAGTGATAGCAGCCATAGACCATACATGATGAATGAATAAGTGTGTCTGCATTCCAATGACGCCTTATTTAGAAAAACAAGTGATGGACCATATTTCCCCCTCATTTCAAAGTGTGCCAGCCCCAGTTTTATGAAATAACACATATGGGGGTTGAACATATTATAAAGAACATCAATAAGGGTTTAAATCGGTGGTTCTTACCCTTTTTTTGAGTCATAAACTCCTGTAAAAAGTGATTGAACATCACCACAGAAAAATACACCTACAAAATTCCACGTTCAGTTAATCAATTCAGATGAATTTCTATTTGATTAGTTCTATAACAGGTTATTCATGAGAAACTAAGGTTGTTTAGTGTATATCCTCCCTAGAGATGGAATTATTTTACTCTCCCTCAAAATGCCATTTGAGGTCCTCATCAGATCTTGGGCTGAAACCAAAGATGCTGTAAGGGCACAGAAACTCACCCATGATCTCTTATCTCTTCTGCCTATCACAGAATGTGGCACTGTGATTCTTCTACACATTTTACCTTCGTACTCTTCTTGCTCCCTTTTGTTCAGCAACTGAGCAAAAATCTAGGAACAACCTTCATTCTCTGTTTAACATTCATTTCTAGCCCTCCACTGTGTGAGGCATTCTGCTCCAACACGAAGACTCACCAGCAAGCAGTGCACGGAGTCCCCCCTCAGATCTGTGTCTGGTGCCTGCAGTAAACGCCAGTCTCTGCCTTTGTTATATGTGATAAAAGTCTTCACTTGGTTGTCAATCTTCTTGTTAGCCAAGAACATTCCCTTTATCCCTGCTACCTGGGAAAAATTGACATGGCTGAAAAATACATCAATGTGAGAAGGGATATATTTGTTTACTTAAAAAAAAGAAAAAGCAGGTTGTCAAAATTAGTTAAGAGCACTTGTCTTAGAGGAAAGAAAGAGTTAGGATAGGAGAAAAGGCATGATGCTTAAGTACAATGACTCCCAGGACGATTGGACAGAAAGCAATAGATTAGTACCCCTTATCATATGGGGGCCATAATACAAGTTTGATAGTGGTTTTTTATTACACATAACATAGACTGGCAGTAGCCTGCAGTTGTCAAGATATAAGCTTCAATTTTTTTCAGTTCTGTTGCTTGGTAAATAATAAATAAATCTGGGCTAATTTTTTGTACGCTAGAATAGCACCCAGAGTGTCAAATACTTGATCTCATTTAATCCTTGTAATAGTCCTTCTAGGTATATCGTTTATTACATTTCACAGATAAGGCTCATTCAAGTAAAGTAACTTGCCCAAGGTGACACTGCCCAAGGACACACAGTAAGTGTCAGACCTGGAATTTTAACCCAGAACTCACTGGCTTCACAGCTCATGCTCCTAATGGCTAGGTAAATTATTAAGCTATTTGCAGGTTTGGGCAATTGAAAGAGTTCTGTTAAAGCTCCTGTCCAATTACTATTGCCTTTTTTTTCTGTAAAAGATCTCTTTTTCTTAAGTCACCAAAATAAATGGAACATAAATAACAGCTTTTAAACTTTAACAGTAATTTCTCTAAATCATCAAATAATTTCCACTCCATTCTTGGAATACTGTTGTTCTTACCTAAACAATTCTTATTAATTATTTGGCTCTGAAAATACAGTTACATCCTTTCCTTCTATATGTTAGAAAAGAGGTAACAATGAGTAAATTGTCAAAATTGTGCCAAAACAAATCATTAACAGTGTATTATATTTCTCAGGTGTTTTAGAGTTTATCAAACACATTCATGCATATTTTAAGCTGCTTGAAATTAGCACAACCAAACAAACTAGAGGGCAGTGAATAAACGGACTAAAAGTGTAGGGAAGTCAATTCTAACACTGCATGTATAACACTCATTCTAACACTCATTTAATATTCACAATAATCATGATGATGTAATTATCTCTAGCCACATTTTAAAGATGAAGAAATAGACACTTATATTAAGTTACTTTCTGGAGTACACACAGGGAGTAATCAACAAGCTAGCAAGCATATTTGAACTCATTTAACTTAACTCAGACACTTTATATTATAATATGATAAAAAAAAATTTTTTGAATTGGTATTTCACTCTGTTGCCCCAGCTAGAATGCAGTGGTACGATCATGGCTCACGGCAGCCTTGAATTCCTGGGCTCCGGAGATCTTCTCACCTCAGTCTCCCAATTAGCTGGGACTACAGATGCATGCCACCATGCCTAGCTAATTTTTTGATTTTGTTGTATAGACAAGAGATCGCTATGTTGCTCAAGCTGGTGTTGAACTCCTGGGCTCAAGCAATCCTCCCGCCTCGGCCTCCCAAAATGTTTGTAATATAAGCATAAGCCTCTGCACCCGGCTGATAATATGTAAAATTTTAAGCAGAATAGTGAAGCAATAACTGCTATTTTTTCAGTCCTTGCAAAATACCAAACACCATGCCCAGTACTTTATCTATAAAATCTCTGATACTCACTACAAACCACTACTACAGCTTTTATCCCAATTCTATAGATGAGGAAACTGAGGTGCAGACAACATTTAATAGCTTAAGATCATAGAAAATTGAGGTTGATACCAAATCTGACTTCCAATTCTCTTTCAGCAAATACGACTTTGAACTTGTCAATTCAAAAATGTGTGATCAATAGAACACGCATTTTGCCTTTACTTTTGACACAGACCTCGTTAGTTTGTACCTGCTGATCTGGGATCATTCAAAGTTGGGCCAAATTTGTACTCTTTTGAAACAACAAGTTTGTTAAGCAAATACATGGCATAGATGAGTTGCTGAGAGGAATACTTTGAACTACTTAGGAAAACAAGCTACATTCTGGGCAATCAACAGCAGCCAGAACAATTTCTTATACATTGCCGATCCTCAACAAATGTAGAAGCCATAAACTCCAGGAGCTTGCCACCTCCCAACAACAATGTGTTAATTATGAATAATATTTAGTAATTCAGTCTACCAGCTCCACAAGGGCTGCTTACCAGGAAACTCCATATTGGTTTTGCATATGTTCAGGAGGCTGTTACATTCTTAAATACGACTAAACTGCCAGCTTTTAAAAATTAAACTACATAAATCAGAATTTTCACAAAGTCATATTGATCTTCCCTCCAGAACATAGCCAGAAATGAGAAACGACTCTGTCTTAGCCATTCAACACACTAGAGGGTTACAATAAGTACAGAAGGAATAAAAATGTTGCCTATTTCAGTAGTTTCATTGCCCATTTTCCTTCCTGCCTTCTCCCTCTTTTGGCAAAGGTGTCAGAGCAGGGTTATGCATGTTTACGAGCTGGTTCATTTGATTTGCATAAGTGGTGACTTTATTGGCCCCCAACTGCTTGGCATTATCAAATGACTCTTGAGCAAAGAGCTGTGCTTTGTAATTCATCTCTGGCAGCTTGGCCTTCAGGTTTATCTTAAGGAATAAAAACTTGGCAAAATAAAGGGGATGTGTGTTAACAGGAGATAGAGCTGGAGAGGGTCTGCTTATACTCCTCTTGCAGCCGCGCACTTTATCCATTTGAGTCTGTTTTTTTTCCCCTCCTTTGGCCTGGTCTACAAAAATGGCTACTCCTACTCTCAGATTTCTGCACCACTGTTTCTTTCACTCTGAACTTGAGAAATGCAATTTTTCTGTATGTCTCACTGCAACCCCTAGATATGAGGGGCTTTCTTCTAGGACTCTTGTCTAAAATCTCCTCATATGTTTCTTGGAAACTCGACCCCCTCGCTGCAGAGCTTTGACTATCAAAGGGGCAGTATTAGTGCCCATATGTGGACTATGTGTGGGTACACATGTGGGTATGTGTGTGCATGTATATACATGCATGTATCTGTGCGTGCATGTAAGGTCTGAAGTTCCGTTAAGGATGAGAGGACGCATTTACACTGTCAGATAACCTCTTTTTGTATCCGCCCTACATGCATATTTATGAAATGGAGTGGGGAAAAGCTATATTCCCAGTGGAAAACATGCCTTTACACAGACACAGAATTTCCATGGAAAATATTCCTATGGGAATGATATATCCCACTCTTGGGAGTTTATCTTCCTTTGGGAAAGGAATTGTTACCTTTACTGCCTTTTAAAATTCTGCACAAAGATCTCAAAAGCTACTTTTGTCTCTTTGCTTCTCATGTGCAGAAATTTGATACTAAAAGTCTCTAAAAATAATTAATAGTTATTTCTTATTATGCAATATCATAAAAAATAAGATACTATTTTGATAAGACTTTAGATATGAAGTGTTATAGCTTAAAACCTAAACTTAACATGAACCACATCAGTGCATCTATGGTGCCCCAACAGAGTCTCAAAGCACTTCCATCCCTTCTCTTACCTGACTCTCTGTGTTTATATAGGCCAAACTCCACTCCCTTGGGCATCCTCCTGATTTGTCTCTATCCGTTCATCAAAGTCAAGCTCAATAAACCTTTTTTAGAAACCAGAATCGCTTTTCATCCCGATTATCCTAACACTTCTCTGTTCTTCAATTTGTCGCTCATATAGATGGTACCTACATCTTGGCTCTCAACACTGTGAAAACTTCTTATGGGACTCAATCTCCCATAAATATCTCTAGTATTCCTGATAACGCAATTCTAATTTTGTTTTCTCCTGTGATCTCTCACATTATGTTTGCTCCCTCTAATATCATCTTTGGATTATCATTCACTACATCATATTACTTCTTTTAAAATTAATAATAGTAAAGGCACATTATATAATGAGCCCTGCTTTAGTTTTTAATGAAATAGGTAGTAAGAGTTCTGCCTTAGAAGATATAATATCTAAGCCTCTGGTAACCTCCATCAGGGAGAGGATGGAGGGGAGAAAAGAGGAATGACTACTAATGGCCATGGAGTATCTACACTGGATAATGAATATCTTCCAGAATGACTGTGGTAATGGTTCCACAGCTCTGTGAACATACTAGAAACCATTGAATTGTACATTTTAAATGGGTGAATTATATAATACATGAGTTACATCTCAATAATGCTTTAAAAAAAGAAGATATAACAACAATAACTGTAATTCAAATTTATTGAGTGATTATGAAGTGTCAGGTACCACAGGTTAAGCATCCAAAGATCCTAATTTGAAAATTCAAAATCCAAAATTTGAAATTTTTTTTAGCGCTGACATGATGTCATAATGGCAAATCCTACACCTGACTTTAGGCTATGAGTCATAGTCAAAACACAATCCCAACTCTAAAGAAAACAAAAATTTAATGTGATGTATATCTCAATAGAGTAATTTGATATTTCCAAATTATATGAATGTATTATATTACAACACATACCCTGAAACTATGTACGCCTATTATGCATCAATAAAAATAAATTTTACCATGAAAAACCATGTTTTATGCATAAAATTATTTAAAATATTGTATACAATTACCTTCAGACTATGTGTATAACATATATATGAAACATAAATGAATTTCATGTTTAGACTTGGGTCTTATTCTCAAGATACGTCTCTCTTTTTCCATATATATTACATATATAATATATATACAAATATCTCAAATTTTGAAAAAATCTGAAAACCTTCTGGTTTCAAGCATTTCAGATAAGGGATACTCAACCTGTACATTAAAGACTTTGCAAACATGAGCATATCAATCTCTTCATGCACTAGAGTTAATATTATCTTCAATTTACAAATGAGAACCCTGAAGTTCAGATGCAGCCAATCGCTTGGCTAAAGTTATTCTGCTAGGGAATCTTAGATCTGGACTCCAAGTCTGTCTAACTCCAGAGTCCTCACACTTAAACCT